AGGATATACATGTGGACAACAGTAATAGACTAGGCGGAAGGCATATGAATAATGACAACAATTGGAAGACACGGAGTATCAACTTCAACTAACTAGCATGGTGGAGGCCTAGATATAGGTATAACAAATAAGAAGGGAACACATGATCTTTACAAGTTAACAAGTAGAGGCATGAATGACTAGCATGGTAGAAGGCTTGTACTAAAGTGCAACAAAATAGATACGACATGAATGTAATTATAACATCAGGAAGTTGGCATGGTATTTGCAAGTTAGGCAAGTAGAAGGTATGAGCAACTCAACAACAATTGAGATAGAGATCAAAGACGGGACAATAGCAACAAGTCACATCAGATCTATAAGTACGACAATAACAGCTCAAGGTAAAGGCATGAACGTATACACGGGGAACATATATCACAACATAATGCATGTCCCTCATCCTTGCCAGCACGGAAACACCCATCGTGCCATGAACTCACGATAATATAAAAGCATGACAATATAAATGAAATGGCGGGGCATCACCCTTCGTGATTTACACTCACATAACATGGCACGGTATCACCTTTCGTGCTTTACACTCTCATAATTTGGCACGGCATCACCCTTTGTGCTTTTACTCTCAAATGATATGGCACGGCATCACCCTTCGTGCTTTACACTCACATAACATAACACGGCATCACCCTTCGTGCTTTACACTCTCATAATATGGAACGACATCACCCTTCATACTTTTACACTCTCGTAACATGGCACGGCATCACCCTTCGTTCATTACGCTCTTCCTTACCAAGCATATGTATATCAATGGCAAACAAGGTAGGAAGCATAAATAACATCAAGGAGAGTCTTTAAAAGAATATTCCAAATGAATCTCAATCACAACTTTTCAAGCCAACAATAGTTCAATAAACCCTCAAGAACCTTATTATTCAAGTGTTTCAACAAATCTCACGAATGATCTTCAACACGAGTATAGAATCTAGTATCTTAAGAATATCGGCCGTAGCAATGTATTATTGATTAATCATAGTGATGACCGAATTAGACACATCAATGTTTTCTCAGAATTCCGTCAAATTTGATCAAGTTATAATAAACTAAGTCTTGGTTTCTAACATTTAATTCTATATTCTTAGAATCTATGAGTCAAGTAAGGCATGAAGTAAGAATGTCACGTAATTCTACAAGACAAAATTTATAACATAATTTACCCCTGATCATGGTTAACCCTGGCACATGCATATATGCTCGTCACCTCATATATGTATCACCCCCGCATGTAGCAAACAATGTCAAATAGTAGGAAAAATTGCCTCAACAAAGTTAGGCAAGACGCTTACCTCAATTCGGCTAGCTCAATACTCAATTAGCATTTTCCTTTACAAATTCACCTCCGCCCGGCTCAATCTAGCCAAAGACGACTTAAATACATCACACAATGCAAGAGAAAATAATTTCAATTAATAAAGCTATGACCTTTATATAATTTCTAAAAAGTCAATAAAAGTCAACTCTCGGGCCCGCTCGGTCAAAACCCGGGTCCAATGGTAGGTCTAGACTACCCAAAGCCCCACGAGTCCAAATACGTGTTTTGTTTTCAAATTCGAGTCCTATTAGACTCTCAAATCCCAAATTTTCATTTTTCAAAACTTTGACAAAATCCCCAAATTTTTCCCTAGATTCTCATGAATTTGATGTTAAATCTTATGTATAATTATGAAATGTAGTTGAGGAATGATTAGAGGTACTTACCCAATAATTTGGTATGAAAATCTCTTCACAAAATCGCCTCCCATCGAAGCTAGAATTCAAAATATAATAAAATGAAGCTAAGTCTCGAAATTCTCAGCTATATGTAGGCTGCAGATGTCGCATTTGCGACATGGGGTTTCGCAAATGCGAACCCCGCAAATGCGAACAACTCATCGCAAAAGCGAAGTTTTGAAATTCTCTGCTGCCTTCGCAAATGCGACCAAAGAGGTCGCAAATGCGAACACTGGACTTTCGCAAAAGCGATCAGTTGGTCGCAAAAGCGAACTAACCCAGCCCAGGCCTTCATCACAAATGCGATACTGAGTCCGCAAATGCGAACTCAACATGCTTCGCAAAAGCGGCATTTCTTTGCAAATGCGAGTCCCTTCCCCAGTAGCCCAGCTTCGCAAATGCGAGGCTCTTCGCAATTGCGATAGTCGCATTTTCGACATAAACATCGCAAATGCGATGACACCAGTACCAGCACTCAAAAATCATGAAAAATTATTCCGAAACCAATCCGAAACTCACCCGAGCCCCCGAGGCTCCAAACCAACCACGCACCCAGTTCCAAAAACACAACACGAACTCACTCGCGCGATCAAAATATCGAAATAACCTTAGAAAGCACGAATCTGACGCCAAAACGCATGAAGATCAAAGTTAACTTCAAGAACTTCTACAATCGCAACCAAGAGTCCGAACCATATCAAATCAACTCCAAATGGCACCAAATTTTGCAGACAAGTTCTATATGACGAAATGTACCTACTCGAGACTTCAAATCACGCATAACAACTTCTAAACGATGAATCGCACCTCAAGTCAAATCAATGAACTTTAAATCTTCAAACTTCTACAACCGATGTCGAAACCTATCAAATCACGTCCAATTGACCTCAGATTTTGCACACAAGTCACATTTGACATTACGGACCTACTCCAACTTCCGGAATCAGAATCCGACCGTGATATCAAAAAGTCCACTCCAGATCAAACTTCCCAAAAATCCAACTTTCGCCATTTCAAGACTAATTCGACTACGGACCTCCAAATTATAATCCGGACGTGCTCCTAAGTCCAAAATCACCCAACGGAACTAAGGAAACCGACAAAACTCCATTTCGATGTCCAATGCTAAAAAGTCAAACTTGATCAACACTTCAAACTTAGAGCTTAAATCTTGAAGTTCATTCTTCCAAATCGATTCCGAATAACTTGAAAACCAACACTGACGATTTATGCAAGTCATAATACATCATGCGGAGATACTCGAACCCTCAAACTAGCGAGCGAAGTACAGATGCTCAAAACGACCAGTTGGGTCGTTACAGGCTGTGGCAGAGGCCGTGGCGGAGGCTATATCGACCGCGGGTTTTCCTGGGATTCCAAAAAATATATGTAAGAGTTGTTGTTTTGTCTATCTTTATAGGCTGATAATACTAACAAAGATAAAGTGATTAACATTAAAAAGAAATCTATTCGTCATATGTAACATTTGTCCATTTGCAATTTTGATCAGCCGATTTATTGAATAAATGATTTTAAATTGGATAGAGATTCATAACAATGAGACTTAGATCCCAGAAGGCTCTGCACCTCTAGATAATTAACTATACTATATACTCCAAGACTTTAGTAACTGTAGATTAACTAACTTGCTTTGAGTAAGTTAACACACTAATAATCAAACAACTAATTAATTAAAGGATTAGTCACTTTGAAGCTATTCTCTAAAATTAATTAATTGTTTCACAAATATAACAGCTGCATTATGATTTATAAGTGGGAGCTGAAAGATAACTTAAAGATTCAATTCCTAAAAATTTCCTTGTGATGAACTTAAAGAGATACCATTGACTTGTTTAATTAATTAAAAAATCACATGAGCCACTCTATGAAGTAACCTTTACATAAAATATCTTGATAAGGAAAATTATACGTTGACCTAATTTGTTAACCTTAGTTTATTTTACAAAGTTAGGCAAATATTGAAGTAAAATGTCCTTTTCATTAATTATGTTAGAAGGTAAGTCAATAAATTTAAAGCAAAACAAAAATACTAGTATATATACTACTAGTAGCAAACTCTTTACTTTCTAAAAACGCATGGATAAAATATAAAGTACTACGACTATTTTGTATTTTGTGAATCACCTCAACTAATTTCATTTTATATTTTGGTATAATTATTTGGTGTTACAAGTTCACTGGCTCGACTAATATTCAGATTCACGTCACCGAGACTAATAAAAGGGAAAACACTCCCTATCAAGATTTCTCCATTCTCATGCTCGTACCCGAGAATTCTGATTAAGGAGGGATCATACCATCCCACCACTCCCTCTGAAATTAAAAAAAAAATAGTTTATCATAATTACATATTCTTTGAAATAACATTCTGACAGTGAGAAAAATACCATAGGTGCTTCGACATTAAATTAGTGTTTGTTATAAGAAAGGGTATATCACAAATACTTGGAAAGATGGGTTTAAAGATACCAAATTTTGGCTTTAGAAAGTCAGAACATGTTTAGAAAAGGTGAAAATAGTATGGGCTAGCCAGTTTTCGGACTGGTAATTAAAAAATAGTCAGCGTTCGTAAAGTTATTGAAAAATAGTCACTATTTTGCTGCAACACGGAAAATTCCAGCATAATATACTGGAGATTGGTGCACCTGTGTATGAACTTCCACTATATTATGCTGGAACTCCAGCACACGGAAAGTTCCAGCATAATATATTAGAGATTGGAGCACCTGTGTATGAACATTACAGCATATTATGTTGGACCAGTATATTATGTTGGAACTCCAGTATATTATACTGCAACTCCAGTATATTATGCTGGAAGTTCACATGTAAAAAATTCGAACTCCAATATATTATGCTGGAATATTTCCCGGATTTTGAACAGTATTTTCGTTCAGATTTATCTTTACATGAAAAGTGGCTAAATTTGGATTACTTTTGAAACTATGATTTTTTTTTTTTTAATTACCACTTATAAATCTGGCTATTTTTGAATTTCACCCTTAGAAAAGACACAAAATTTTTAGCCAAATAAATTAATACAAAGCCAATATGACAAATTATGTTAGGACATACATATCATTGTTAACTTCCAAAAGAAAAGGAGTCTATGTATTGTGTGTGTGTGGGGTGGTGGGTGGGGGCGGGGGGGTGTTTGCTTAAAACTTTGAAAAGAGAAAATAACTCATATAAGAATCAAATGATCATTGATTTATTAGTTTTCATTCAACAAATTCTCTCTACCTATTCTCTCATTAAAAATGTCTAAAATTGACAATTCTGCTGTCCTTAGTATTTGTAAAACAGTTCTAGTTTGTGGTTTAGTCTTATACGTGGGCACCATTATTTATTTCAATGACTCTAAATGTTCATCTTCTGATTTTTTCTCTCCCTTGAAACTCACTATCTCTCCTTCTAATTCTCAAACAAATACATTATTATCAAATGATGCAAAAACCAATAATGCCACAAATATTAGCCATCTTCTTTTTGGACTTTTGGGGTCAGAAAAAGCATGGCATCATAGAAAATCCTATGTTGAATCTTGGTGGAGACCAAATATTACAAAAGGATATCTTTTACTAGATTTTCCTCCTAAAGGTGATCTTTTACCTTGGTCAATAAATTCACCACCTTACAAAATATCAGATGATGTTCCAAAACTTGTTGAAGAAACCAAACATGTTGATCCAACTGTTTTAAGATTAGTTCATGGGATAATGGAGGTGTTTAGAGAGGAACATGAAGGTTTAAGATGGTTAGTTATGGGGGACGACGATTCTGTATTTTTCGTGGATAATATGGTTGATATTCTCGCGCAGTATGATCATACGAAATATTATTATTTTGGTGGACACTCGGAGTTTATATTGTCGAATTATTGGTACTCGTTTAATCAAGGTTTTGGTGGTGCTGGATTTATATTGAGTTATCCTTTGGCTAAAGCATTAGCAAATAATATGATGTCTTGTTTAAAGAGATATGCTCATTTGAAAGCTGCTGATAGAACTACAATGACTTGCATTGCTGATATTGGTGTCAATCTTTCTCCTCTTCAGGGTATTCATCAGGTAAATTTTTTTTAAAAAAAAAAAAAACAGACAAGAATCAAAAGGATAATGAGATGCACAATCATTAAGTAGTTATATGTTTGGATAAAAGTACTGAAAATAATATAAGCAGTTAATGTATTTGATTTTCTAACGATTAAAATGCCCTAAAGTTATTTACTGAAAATGTCAACTATTAGAAAGAATTTTTAGAAGGAGAATGATAAATGATGAAAAACACCCTTAAAGTATCTTCAAGGGTGTTTTCTAAAGAAGGGTATTTTGTGAAATTACAAAAAAAATATTATGAAAAAGATCTTGGTCTAACTGAAAGGTCTCTTTAACTTGAAAAATCATAAGTTAGGGGCGATCAACTTACAATTTTTAACTGATTTTGACTTTATAAACACTTAGTTTATAAATATTCTTGGTGTTTACCAAATACGTAAGTTAAAAAAAGTACTTTTCAGCCAGTCAAACCAGCTTATAAATTTACAGAAATACCGTCTTTATTTTATCTTTATTAATTCTTGGATATAAATTAATTTGCAGATTGATCTACGTGGTGATCTATCAGGATTTCTATCATCTCATCCAAAATCTTTATTAATGTCTCTTCACCATTTTGACATGGTTGAACCAATTTTTCCCTCTTTAGACCGTGCACACTCAGGATTTCATCTCTTAAATGCTGCAAATTATGATCAATCAAGAATGTTACAACAAACCATATGCCACAAAAGATCAAATAATTGGACATTTTCAGTTTCTTGGGGATATTCAGCACATATTTATGAGAAAATTATGCCTAGAAGTTGGATTCAAAATCCAATTGAAACATTCAAAACATGGAATAAAAGTCCTAATCCACCACATTATATGTTTGATGTTAGAAGTCCTTCTTTGGATCCTTGTGAAGCTCCACATGTTTTTTTCTTCAAATCTGTTGAGAAAACTCCAAGAAATGAAATTCTTACTACATATACTAGAGGATGGCCAAGAGGGATTGGAGCTTGTTTGTCTTCTGGAAATTATTCTGCAGAATATGTTTCTGAAATTCATGTTTATTCACCAGCAACAAAACGTATTGAGGTAATGTTCTCTACTTCCATAATCTCGTAATTTTGTATGATAATATTGTATGGGGGCTTTGGAGCAACGATAAAGTTGTTTTCGTATGACCTATAGGTCACCAGTTTGAGCCGTGGAAGCAACCACTAATGTTTGAATCAGGGTAGGTTGTCTACAGCATATCCCTTGAGGTGCGGCCCTTCCCCAGACCCTACATGACCGCTTTTCTACTTAAAAGGGTCAAGAAATTATTAGTTTACCATAATAATATATTTTGGCTCCGGAGACTTCATGAAAATAAGTAGAATCAAATAAGATCCATTCATAATTTGCTGTAACTTGCCAATTCAGGAAAGAGAATTAAAGAGATTAATTGAAATTAACTCAACATATGAGATTGCAATCATACAAAGCAAGAATATAAGAAAATAATTCTGCAGAAATTTTTATATATAGATAGAATAATATATTTATAATTTATTATAAGTTTGCTTCTGAAATAATGTGAGTGAGTTTGTGTTAAAGTATTTCTATTGCTTATAAATTAATTTAATGAATAATTTCTAGGTCAACAGCCATAAGTTGAAGAAAGCTAATAATTAACTTGCATTGATGTCTTAATTATAAACTAACATATAGCTCGTTGATTAACTCAAATGCATCTCCTTTCTCATTGACTTCTAGTTTTCTATACATTTTTCCAATTATAACATTAATCACCTTGAAAGGGCGAGAGATTAGGTTGATCCAATATAATTTATAGAATTTGAGGTTTATTCATTTTCTTTTTCTTTATAACGGTAGTGTCTGGCCCAGCTAGCGCGCACACTAATTTCACGGGATACCTACTACATCACATTAGTACACGTACCATGTAACTCTGTTCACTAAGACTTAACAGATGAAAAGAAGTAACTTAATATTTTAGTCTCGACATAATTCTGAACCTAAAACTTCATGGTGTTTTGATGTTTGTACATCATGTTAAGGACTAAGAGAAGTATTTCTTTCTTTAGGTTGGTATCAGTTTTTTTCTTTCTTTTTTTTCACAAACAGCATTTAGCATTATTAATTAATTAGCTTAATTTGAAAGTCAACTAACGTGCTATTAAGTGAAGACAACTGGAGTGAAACATGCTGTCTTTAGAGAAACCCCAAAGTATATTCTCCCTCTTCTAAAAGTACTTTAACAAATGGAGAAATCATAATAATAATAATAATAATAATAACAACAACAACAACAATAATAATAATAATATAGGATTCATCGACGATGTCGACATCGTTTTTAAGGAAGAAATATTAGAATACAGATGTAAAATGACAGACATAAGGGCAGCCTGGTGTACTAAGCTCCCGCTACACGCGGGGTCCGGGGAAAGGCCGAACCACAAGGGTCTATCGTACGCAGTCTTACCCTACATTTCTGCAAGAAGTTGTTTCCACGGCCCGAACCCATGACCTCCTGGTCACAAATATATAAAATGACAGACATATATATATATAAGTTTAACCGAAAAGCAGGCCAACCTCGTATATTCAAATTACAAAGTCATGATTGAAATTGAGGTTTTGTTCAATTGTGTTTGATTATGTCAAAAATCTCTACTCTGATCATTATGTTTTTATTAATGATTTTTTTTTCTCATTGTAATTTTCAGATTGATAGGTGTGAATGTTGTGATGTAATTCATGAAGCTGGATCAAATAAGGCTGAAATCAAGTATAGAGAGTGTTTGATGGATGAGATAATAGCTTGATTAATCCATAATATGCTGTTGTATAAGCATTTATGTCAATTTTTTTTTTCTTATTAGTATTTTTTTCCAAAAGATAATTGTTATGTATTAATTCAACACATGAAAGAGTCATGTAATGCTGAAGAGATATGTAACTTTTGCACACATAAATATGTAGCTTATCTATTTTTTTTAAACGGAATTTAATAAATTTTTATTTTTATTCACATCGAAAGATCGAACAATCATCTTGTGTCTTTTACTTACATTTTTAGTTATTCTCCTCAAGGAAATAGATACATAAATAGAAAAAAAATTAAAAGTTATCGTAAATGCAATCACATGTATAGGATATAATATTAGTACATGAATTGTGAAGAAAAATTTCACTGTCTATGTTGTACTTGAGTTATAGAGAAGAAAAATAGCTCCAATGATTAATGTAAAATAGTATTTTCACCTTATCAAAAATCTTCAACAAATGAATAATGTAGCATAGTATTGGAGTCCTAACTCCTAACCATTGCACCTCTTCGTTTTTAATTTTTTCTTATACATAACAAATTTTATATATTTATTTAGTTATTAGATCGGTTACCAATATAGGTTAGATCGTGCTCCAATCATTTTATGCAGGAATGAAGGTGCTCTTGGCTCGACATCATTGGTTCTATTTCATTAGAACCCCTAATTAGTCCTCATTCTTGGAAGGTCGTTGAATTTTATTTGTTTTATATATTCATGAGGCATCTTCGATTAATTATATTAATGTTGTGTAGGATCCGTCTAAAGGGGAAATGGTCCTTATCTGCAGAGTTTTTTTAAATCCTTAGGACTCAAATTCGAGAATTATGACTAAGGATAGAGGAATTACATCCATTTCGCCGTACCACTTAGTGGTTGAAAGATCAAAATAGCACGGGCTAGTCAGTTTTCGGACTGGTCATTCAAAAATTGTGATGACCCAAAAGGTCATCTAGTGTTTTAGAGTCCAATTCGGGGTTCCGAGGCCTTCAAAATTCCCTATTAGTTCTTCTCGATTTGTGCGCAGTCCGGGCGCATTTCCGGAAAGTCTTTATGTGGAAATTTGAGAAATTAATAATTTTTGCCTTTAAAAGTTAATTTTAGTTGATTTCGGTCGACATTTTGAGTAAACGGACCCGGACCCATGTTTTGACGGTCCCGGAGGGTGCGTAGTAAAATATGGGACCTGGGTGTATGCACGGAATTGAATTCCGAGGTCCCTAGCCCGAGAAATGAATTTTTGATAAAAATTGTTAAAACTGTTATTATAATGGTTTTGAGAAATTGGTTACTAGTTGATCTCGCTGGTATCGGACCCGTATTTTGGTTCCAGAGCCCGGTACAGGTCCGTTATGATATTGAAGTCATGTCTGTTGAATTTGGTGAAAACGGAGTTTATTTGACGTGATTCGGACCCTTGGTTGAGAAAATAGAAGTTTTGAAACTTTCTTGAAAATTTCATCCAATTTGGTGCTAAATCCGTAGTTTTAGATGTTATTTTGGCGATTTGATCGCACGAGCAAGTTCGTATGATATTTTAAGACTTGTGTGCATGTTTGGTTTGGAGCCCTGAGGGCTCGGGTGAGTTTCGGATAGGCTATAGAGTGTTTTGGAACTTAGAAAATTTTGCTGGTATAGCTGAACCCGTTGCAGGCCTCTGATCTCGCAGAACACCACAGGTCCGCATTTGCGAGGCCTTCATCGCAATTGAGAAGGAAGGTTGGGCCAGCAGTTATCGCATTTTCGAATATTTCTTCGCATTTGCGAAGTAAAGTGGGAAGGGGCAGTGATCACAAATGCGATCATTTTGTCGCATTTGCGGAGGTTCATGTTCGCAATTGCGAACATTTCTTCGCATTTGCGAAGGCAGCAGGACTGTGAAGGGCTTCGCATTTGCGATAGCTTCTTCGCATTTGCGAAGCTCAAGTCGCAAATGCGACATCTGCAGCTGATAACTTTGGACTTAGACGGGATTTTTCATTCATTCTCCCATTTTTCAAAACCTAAACTTCAATAGGCGATTTTCCAAGGGCTAGTTCTTCCCCAAATCATAGGTAAATGATTCTTAACTCATTTCTTTCAATCTATTACATCTTTTTACAAGATTTAATCCTAGAATCTAAGATTTTTCATGGTGGAATTGGGTGTTTTTGGGTAGAACTTAGGAATTTCGAAATTTGGGGAGTTGGACCTCAAATTGAGGTCGGATTCCAAAATAAATTGTATATTCGGGCTCGGGGGTAAATTGGTAATCGTGTTTTGGTCCAAATTTTGGGTTTGGACCAAGCGGGCCCAGGTGTTGACTTTTGTTGACTTTTTCCAAAATGTCCTAAATTGAATTTCTTGCAATCGCGGGTAGTTCCTAAGGCTTAAATTGAATTGTTTGATTGGTAATTGCTAGATTCTATTGGCCTGGAGGCTAGTGTGAAAGGAAAGGTGGTGATTGAGCTTTGAGTTTGGCCGTGGTAGCGAGGTAAGTATTGTGGCTAACCTTAGCATGAGGGATTAGGTATTGTTGCCTTATTTGCCATGTGTTTGGTTGTTGAGTACGACGTATAGGTGAGGTGACGAGTACTTATACGTTGTTGTCGAGTCATTGCATGCGAGTTAGTCTTATTCTTCTAACTGTTGTACTCTTTGATCATATAACTCATGTTTAGACTTGTTATTCCATGTGTTGAGCAACTCTTATCATGTTTTACGAGATTTGGTACTGATTGAGTATTAACTCAAAATTGAGGCTGGTATTGTGGAATTAAATATTGAAGTAAGACTGATTCTTGATATTTCTATCTCCCTGTGATTATTATTCATTGTCTTGGTGAGGGAGAGTGTTAAAGTACGAAGGGTGATGCCGTGCGATGTTTTGTGAGTGAGTGATAATGCACAAAGGGTGATGTCGTGCCATATTTTGTGAGTGATAATGCACGAAGGGTGATATCGTGCCATGCTATGAGAGAGATAATGCACGAAGGGTGATGTCGTGCCATGTTATGAGAGAGTTAATGCGCGAAGGGTGATGCCGTTCCGTTTCTATTGTTTCTTATGGTGAGAATGAGAGTAAAAGCACGAAGGGTGATGTTGTGCACTTGTTTGCTATGTTATTACTTTCGTTGGTGCAAAGCATGATATTTACTGCGTTTCTTAACTGTACTATCTTCAGGATTTGATATTTCCCTCAGCATGTTTTCCCCCTTCCCGTTATTATCTGCTAAATTTCCGTTTGTTGTTATTTTCTCGTATATGATTTAACTGCACAGGTTCATGTTATTATCGTGTCCTAGCCTCGTCACTACTTCGCCGAGGTTAGGCTCGGTACTTATCAATACATGGGGTCGGTTGTACTGATACTGCACTCTGCATTATTTTGTGCAGATTTCGGTACTAGACCGTGTTGATCTGAGTTGGGTTGTTGCCTTCAGTCCATCAGGAGACCCAAGGTAGATCTGCCGGCGTTCGCAAACCCTGGAGTCCCCTTCCATTTATCCTAGTTTCCCTGTTTTCTTTTATTTCGAGAACAGATGTATTTTCTTTAAACCAGTATTTGTAGTGACTCTTAGAAGTTCGTGGATTGTGACACCAGATTTTGGGTAGTCGTATATTAGTTTTTGGATTATTATAAATTTCTGCACTTCTTTACTTTATTTTTGTTTAATTATTGTTATTTACTATTTTGGATAGCGGTTAGCGTATTAGATTTTTATCGGTTGGCTTGCCTAGCATTTTGAAAAGTTAGGCGCCATCACGATCCCGGCTAGGGGTGTGCATTCGAATCGGTTTATCGATAAATCGAATCGATTATTTGTTATCGAAATCGAAATCGAAAAAATCGAAACCTTATTGAAACGATAACGATAAGCATATGTACAAATCGATAATCGATAAGTAATTATCGATAAGGGTCAAAATCGAATCGATAAATCGAATGCACACCCCTAGACTGTAGACACTTGTTAAATGAGTAATTACCTATTTGTGTAGATTAATATTACATACAGAATGTATATATATTCCGCTACTATTTTGAAAGCGGCTATACAATATTATTTTCCCTAATCTATACCCTTTCCTTTACCCTAAGTCCCTTACCCTATTATTTCCTCTACCACATTTAAGGAATGATCATATTTAAAGATCAAGGGAATGAAGTTCAAATTAATGGAAAATAGAATTAGCCGTGATGATGTGTTTTGTTTTGTTTTTGTTTTTTTTATACCGTTGGAGTGTTGGTGGCATACATTTGATCCCTTACTTTAGTTTTGTTGCATGTGCTTGTTGACACAATTTTTATATTATAAATGGTGTTCGTCTTATTTTAGCTTCTTTTTGTCCATATTAGTTAGGTGCGTTTATAGCGATATACTTTCCGTGGAATCCCGCAAAATTTCTTATTGGTGTAATCGATAACCGAATCGATAAGCCCCCAAAATCGATAAATCGAAATCGAAAAAATCGAAACCTTATTGAAACGATAATGATAAGCATATGTACAAATCGATAATGGATAAGTAATTATCGATAAGGGTCAAAATCGAATCGATAAATCGAATGCACACCCCTAATCCCGGCGGTGGAAAATTACGGTCGTGACAAAAATAGTCAGCGTTTGCCAAGTCATTGAAAAATAGCCACTATTTTGCTACAACAGAGACCGGCTTAGCATAATATACTGGAGTTCGGTGCACCTGTGTATGAACTTCCAGCATATTATGCTGGACCGGTATACATTGCTGGCTCCAGCACAATATACTGGAACTCCAGTATATTATACTGGAATTCCAGTATATTATGCTGGATTATTTTTCGGATTTTGAACAGTGTTTTCGTTCATATTTATCTTCACATGAAAAGTGGCTAAATTTCGATGACTTTTGAAAATGTTGCTATTTTTGAATGACCACTTATAAATCTGAATTGCCTATTTTTTCACCTCTCCGAACTTCAGTTATCAACATAAACTTAGGGTATTAGTACACCAACAATTTGGTTATTAGTATTTCTTTTTTGTAAGTTATGTTTTCTTTATAGCCAACTATATTTTTTTCCTTATTTTAATATCCTTTATATTAATATTTGTCATATATTTTTATTCCAGCTCCACATCTATTTCTTTTTCTTTTAGAAAAAGGTACGAGAAAGATGAAGATCCTAAGTGGCAAGTGTAGTTGTTCATTCAATGAAATCATAATAAAAATAACAACATTCCTTTGGAGATAGTTGCCAGATATGTATGAATTTGAGCCATTCAAAATACTATTGTTTTTTCTATTGGAAAAATTGGTAAAAATGAGAAAAATAAATTAACATAATTGCTTTTACAATAATGTTATGGATTGATCAAGCTATTATCTCATCTGTCTTACACTCTCTATACTTGACATCAGCTTTATTGGATCCAACCTCATGAATGATGTCACAACATTCACATCTATCAATCTGAAAAAAAATATAAATAAGAGATCAAATAATTAAATAAAAGAATAGTGGTTAGAATATAGATTTGTTTGTAACTAGTGGTTTAATTTAGATGGCTATAAATTTATTAATATACTAATATTTCTTTATGAATAACGTCGATATTCATCGACGAAATCGACGCAAAAAATTTGTCCATTTTTGTTCAAGAATAATTTAATTCGCCGTCTGCTTGAAATCAACTTGTTATTATTTATTTTATCAGCATAGAAAGAAATGTGCATATCATTGTTTTCTATTTCTTGGTTTATATTGTTTGCTCAAAAGTTATTACATATCTTGTGAGTGTAAAACAATATAAATAATCACGGGAAAATCATAGCAAATTGTAATAATCCGTTGGACCAAATGAAAGAAACGAGAATAAGTGCTCAGAATTAGGGGGAGAAACATTCGAAACCTTTATTGATAATATTTATTTGGTCTGCCTCTCCAAGAAGAGGTTCAGAGCCTTACAATGGTGTTTTCTCTTCTCATAAGATGGGTATATTTTTCCCTTCTCTCTCCTGTCTATAGTGGTGAAGAAGCAGCCCCCCTTTCTAGGGCTTCCACTCTTAATATTTATAGATGTGAGCTTCGTGAGCTGGCAATAAATGGCCGTAGCCACGCTGAGGTTCCGTCCCCATGGGGAAATGAATGGGCCGTGCCCTCGTAGATTAAATCGGACAAGAGTCGAATCCTCTTATGAATAAGTGGCCATACCACTTATTAATTATGAATTAGCTCAAGACGAGATTAACTCCGTTAATTACCGTGAGGTCAGATTCTGACCCATACAGTTAGTCCCTCCGCTTATTGAGGTCGTGTTTCGGCTGAGCTCGATGAGCGGATTTCATCGATTGTGATTTGAAAAAACTCGAATAAGGGGGGTCGACTTATTGATGGCGGCGGCCTTAGCCGTTTATACGTTGGAGATGGTCGTAGCCTTTCATATATTGGAGAGCCTTTCATATATTGGAGAGCCTTTGGAGAATGAGTATGCGCCGGGTACGTATTTGGTCACGTCCAAAATTTTGAAGGCGTACGGCGCATTCTTTCAGCGTTCGCAGGCCGTTGCGATTATTCTGACGGCGGGACGTTGGCGAATGCTGAGAGGCCGCTTTGCGGAGCTCGTCATAATGACGCTTGCTTCGGCAGAATTGAACCGTTTTACGGTTGGTCGTGCAGTTAATGATGGCTATTGGGTTTCGCGAAAGCCATTTATGTTGCCTATAAATGTGGGTTGAGGCATTCATTTCTCATATCTTCATTGTTCATCCGAGAGAGATTCTGAGGAAACTTTTTCATTTCGCTAATTCATCTTCTCCTTTCTTTCCTTTGATTGTGATAGCATTTGTCTTTAGTAGATCAACAATGGCAGGCAGTTCTTCCCACGATGCTCTTCCGATAGATTTTCCGGTAGTTGAAGGACCATCTCCGGCAATGGGAGGTGCAGAACAGATAGAGTCCGGAGAAATTCCGTCGGTTGACGAGGTGGTTCCTNCTTCGTTGGGTGATTTCAGGCTTAGAGGCGTGTTCGGATTATGTTTTGGAGGTCCTAGCTTAATTAGGCTTGAAATGCCGAAGGTCGAATTTTTGAAGTTTCCGGTTTGATAGTGTGATTTTGATGCCCGGAGGTCTGGCGATTGATTTCACTGTCGACGGTGGAGAGGAACCAGTGGATGAAGCCCCGTTAATGGGGGAGATTGGGATGGCCCGATTACGGGAACAGGGGGTCGTTCCTACCCATGCAGACATTGTTCTCGCTAGAAGCGAGGAGAGGGTCCACACCGATCGCAGGGGATACTGCGTTTTATACGCCTATCCTTTCAGGTTGGGGTTCAAGATCCCGCTCCCAATGCTGGTGGTGGATTTCTGCCGTTATTACGGGGTATGCCCGGGTCAGCTCACTCCTTCCCTCTACAAATTGTTGGCAATGTTCATCAAGTACGCGGAATTGGCCCGTAGGGAGGTCATGCTGCAGCATGTGCTGAGTCTCTACGCTCCCCAGAGAGTCCGCGGCACCATGATTCAGTCGTGCCCTCGTGGGTCGAGGGGCCTGGTCATGAGGTTGGATGACGAGGTCGACCCTCGCCCTTTCGAGCACTTCTTTTATATCAGGACCAAGCACCTGGTGGCGGATGCTACTGGGTTCCGAGAGGCTTGGAACCATGCACGTAAGTTCTTTAGTGGTTGAATTCCTTTTTCTTTCCCTCTTTATGATTTGTGATCATGGGCGTTAACTCGTGTCTTTTTTGTAGCTGACAGGTCGCCGCCGGTCCCATTGTCTTGGATACGTGAGTGGGTCGAGGCCGTACTCCCTCATACGCGGGGGATACGCACATGGGCGTCTTTTTGGGAGAGGCATGGCCGTAGGCCCGTGGCAGGTAAAAAATTGATTTCTTCTTATGTTCCGCTTTGTTTCGACTCTATTCATCAACCTTGTTTTCTTGTGATTAGGGAGGGCACGCCGCGTCAGGGCCCCTCAGTTGGCCTTCCGTCGGCCTGGTGCGGTTGCTCGGCTTACTGCAGCGCCGGTGTCGCGCTCAATACCGAGGGCGGCATCAGTTGAATCTTCAGCGATTTCTTCTCCTTCGCGGACCCGACTTCGAGGCGAGGGGCCATCGGGGGTTGTGCGCCCTAGAGCGGAATCGTCATCAGATGGGGAGGAGGAGAGGCCGTTGATAAGGCGTAGGGTTGCGTTCGCGCCGGCTCCTCCTGTGGTAATTAATTTGGACTCCCCCCCGGCGGACGCGAAGAGGAGTGCGGCTGCGGCGCCTGCCCTCGAGGGCGGACAAACAATGGGGGTTGCCCCGGTTGGCTTAGGTCGTGATGATATCGTCGCTTCGGCGACTCAATTGGTGGTTCCAGTCGCTGAGACGGGGGGTAGTTCCTCAGCGGCTGCTAATGTGGGTGAGGCCAACGCTCCTTCGGCGGCTGTGGCGGGAGGAGATGCTGTAGGGGGTGAGGATGAGTCTGAATCCGACTTGGATCCCGACGATGTCCGTATGTTCCAGGAAGGCTCCACCAATTCAGCGGTGCGCGCAAGGGGCGATCTCGCTTCATCGAGGTTCCCACGGAATTGAACTTATTGCTCCAAGGGGAAAGCTTGGTGCCGCAGTTCGAGCTGCTATGCTCGGAGGCCGAGAATGCGTCGTTGAGGGGCGTTACTGATGACGGACTGATGAATGAAGTAGCCGTGATGGGCTTGAGGGTATGTACTATTACGTCGGTTCGCTTCTTCTTTGCCTAAGTTTATTCTTTTATTCTAATCGTTTGTCTTTGCTTTGTAGTCTTATCTGTTGGAGGTGGAGAGCATCCGTCGAGCCAAGGTCC